ACACTTGAGTAAAGAGGACGAAAGGACATTGAGAACAGAAGGGATTGGAATGATAACGAAAGGACACTTGAGTAACGAAGGATGGTCAGAGTAACGAAAGGACACTTGAGTAACAGAAGGATTGGATGAGTAACGAAAGGACACTTGAGTAACAGAAGGATTGGATGAGTAACGAAAGGACACTTGAGTAACAGAAGGATTGGATGAGTAACGAAAGGACACTTGAAAACAGAAGGATTGGATGAGTAACGAAATGGACACTTGCAGTAAACAGAAGGATTGGATGAGTAACGAAAGGACACTTCGTTGGAACAAAAGCACAGACCAATGGACTCAAAGAAAGACGCATGACTAATGAATAAACAACAAAACAAAAACAAAAAAAAAAAAAAGAAATAAAAACGAAACGGAATGAAAACTAAAAGACTCACGAATAACGGACACAAAAGGACGGCGCGAGTGACGGAAAGAGCTCACGACTAACGAAGGGAACACGTGACTAACGAAGGGAACACGTGACTAACGAAGGGAACACGTGACTAACGAAGGGAACACGTGACTAACGAAGGGAATGACTAACGAAGGTGCGTGACTGGAGCGGCGTGCTGCTTTGCGACGAGTGCGTTTCTCATCCGGGAAAGTTCTTTTTTCTTCACTCTTTTTTCATGATGGATTTCGCGATAATTTCCATCTCTTTTGAGAAAACAAATGAGAAGACGGGGAAGAAATGCAGGTAAACCAGGATATTTATATATGCAGATGTACATACACATATATATACATACATACATACATACATACATACAGTACATACATACATACATACATAACATTACATACATACATACATACATACATACATTCTCCACCTTCTTTCCCCGCCTTCTTCCCATGCTCTTCATTTTCATTCTTCTCTTTCTCCCTTTTTTACTTCTCTTTCTCCCTCTATTTTCTCCTTCCCCTTTTCGTTCACTTTCTCTTTTTAATTTTCTTGCTTTTCCTTCGCTTGACTTTTCTCTTTTTCCAACTCCTTATCATCATCAACATCTTCATCTTGCCCCTTCTCCTTCTTCTTCTCCCTCTCTCCTTCTTCCTTTTTATTTTTTCTTCTTCCCCCTCCCCTTCCACGCCTCCCCTTCCCCCCTCCTCCTCCTCTCCCCCTCCTCCTCCTCCTCCTCCTCCTCCTCCTCCTCCTCCTCCTTCCTCACCTCCTCCCCCCCTTCCCTCCTCCTCCCCCTTCCCCTTACCCCTCCTCTCCCCTCTTCTCTTCTCCTCCCCCTTCCCTCCTCCCCCCCACCTTCACTCCACACACACACACACATACAATTTTCTCTCCACCTCCTCCTCCTCCTCCCCCCCCCCCCTCCTCCCTCCCCTCCTCCTCCTCCCCCCTTCCCCTCCCCCTCCTCTCCCTCCTCCTACCCCTCCTCTCCCCCACACACATCCAATTATCCTCCACCTCTCCTTCTCTCCCTCCAGCCCCGAACTGCAGCTGGAGTCCGCGTGGGCTGTGACCAACATCGCCTCAGGGAAATCAAAGCACACCAACGCTGTCGTGGGTAAGTGGGTGAGAGTAAGAGGAGAAGGAGAGAGAAAGGGAAAAGAGAGAAGGAAGTAGTGAAAGATAGAAAGGAAAGAATGAGAGAGAGAGAATGGAGAATGTAGCGAAGATGGATGAATGTGTGTGTGTGTGTGTGTGTGTGTGTGTGTGTGTTGTGTGTGTGTGTGTGTGTGTGTGTGTGTGTGTGTGTGTGTGTGTGTGTGTAGAGAGAGAGAGAGAGAGAGAGAGTGTGCGTGTGTGTGTACACGCATATATATATATATATATATTATATATATATATATAATATATATATATATATATATATATATATATATATATATGTGTGTGTGTGTGTGTGTGTGTGTTGTGTGTGTAATAATGAATAGAACCTATAATACATGACATAGAAACCATAAAAATAGGTAGAAGAATGATGTATAAAAATAGAAAAGAAAAAAGCAGGTGTGGAAATTTAATGGGATTTAATGAGGATGAAATTGAAGGTTTTAGGAGAGTCTGTCTTGCGAAACGAGCGTGTTTGCAGTTTTTTTTTTTTTTTAAATTTCATTTTATTTATTTTTGTTATTATTGTTTTTTTGCTTTCCTTCTTCGTTGTAGCGTGATTAATTTGTTATAGATATGTTTTTTTTTTATTTCTTCTGAATGTATGAATGGATTTCTTTTAAGTGACTATGATAGTGAAAAAAAGGTACGTATCATCGTCAACATCACCATCACACTGTCTCCTTTACCATCACCAACATTCCCTTCATCACCACCACCAACCATCCCCACCACCTTTAACGCACCCATCCCCCCCCCCACACCCATCCTCCCACCTCCCACCTCCCATCCCCCCCACCCCCCCTCACCACCACCATCCCCCTACCACCACTCACCACCATCCACCCCCCCCCCCACCAACCCAACCACCACCTCCCATCCCCCTACCACCACCCACCACCCCTACCCCCCCACCCCCCCACCCACCACCCATCCCCCCACCCACCACTCACCACCCATCCCCTCCCCACCACCTCACCACCCCCCCCCCACCAATCACCCCCCTACCACCACTCACCACCCATCCCCCACCACCCACCACCCCCCCCCCACCCACTACCCCACCCGCCCCTCCCCAACAGACGCGGCGCCATCAAGGTCCTCATCCAGCTGCTGAGCTCGCAGAACACGGGCGTGAGGGAGCAGGCGGTGTGGGCGTTGGGGAACATCGTGGGCGACGGACCGGACTGCAGGGACAGGGCCATCGAGGAGGGCATCGTCAGGCCGCTCGTCGGACTCCTCAGCGTCACCACGCCCGTGAGTCCGGGAGGGGGGGGGAGGGAGGAAGGGAGGGAAAGGAAGGGGGGAGGGGAGGGGGGGAGGGGAGGGAGGAAGGGGGTGGAGGAGAAGGGTGGGGAAGGGAGGAAGGGAGGTAGGGGAAGGGAAGGAGGGGGGAGAAGAGAAGGGAGGGAAGGAGGGAAGGGAGGAAAGGAGGGAAGGGTTGAAAGAATAGTGGGAGGGAAGGAGAGGGGAAGGGGAGAGGAAGGGAGGGGTTGAGAGAGAAGTGGGAGGAAAGAGGGGAATTAGAGAAGGGAAAGAAGGGGGGTTGAGAAAGGTGGAAGGGGAGGAAGGGTAGAGAGAGGAAAGGAGGGGAAATAAAGAGAGAAGTGGGAGGGGAATAGAGAAGGGAAGGAAGGTGGTAGACAGAGAAGCGGAAGAGGAAGGGTAAAGAGAAGTGGAAGGGGAACGAGAGGAAGATAGAGAGCGGAGGGAAGGAGGAGAAGGTAAAGAGAGAAGTGGGAGGGGAAGAGAGGGGAAGGGAGAAGGATAGAGAGAGAAGTGGAAGGGGGAAGAGAGAGAGGGAGAAGGGTAAATAGAGAAGTGGGAGGGATGAGGGGAAGAGAGGGAGGGGGGGGGGTACAGAAAGGGGTGAAGGGGAAGGAAAGAAATCGGGAAATAGAGAGAGAAGTAAAAGAAGGATAAGGAGGGGGAAGTGGGGAGAGAAGGAAAGGAGGAGGTAGAGAGAGAAGGAAAGGGACAAGGAGAAGTGGAAGGGGGACGAAGCGAAGGAAGAGGAACAGAGGGAAAAGGAGGAGGGGTTAGCGAGAGAAGTGGGAGGGGGAATAGGGGGGAAAGAAGGAATTATAGATACTGTAGTAATAGAAGGGGGAATAGAAAGGGAAGGAAAATGAGGTAGAAAGAGAAAAGGAGGAGGGATAGAGGGCGGAATAGAGAGAGAAGTGGAAGGGGAAAGAGAATTAAAGAAAGGGAAGGGAAATAGAGGAAAATAGAGATAAAAGGGAGGTAGAAAGAAAGAGGGAAGTCGGAGTAGGGGCGAGAGAAAGAGAAAGGGAGGAGGCAAAGGGAAGGGAAATATGAGCAGGAAGGAATAAGGGGAATAGAAGAGAAAACAGAGAATTAAAAGAATGGAAAGAGAGAAAAATTAAGAAGAGGGTAGAAGGGAATAAGAAAAGGATGGATGAAAATAGAGAATAAATGGAGAAAAAAAGTAAGAAGGGGGATAGAGAAAAAAAGAGGAAGGGAGGAATAAAAAAGAGTAAAAAGAAGGAAAAATGAGATAAAGTGGGAAGGAAAAGGGAGATTAAGAGAAAAGGAAGAAGAAAAGGGGGAAAAGGAGGAAAAGGGAGAATGAATGAATAAAAAAGGGAGAAGAGAATGGAGAGGAAGAATATTGGAAGATAAAGGGGGAAAACAATAAGGGAAAGGAAGAAAATGAAATGATTTATCAGTAATGTAAACTCTAATTAATTATTACTCTATAATTATTTTAATCAAGTTCAGTTTATTTCTAATATTTATTCTAATTATCAAGTTAGTCTATTTCTAATATTTACTCCTATTGTCAAGTTCAGTGTAATTCTAATATCCATTCTGATTACAAAATTCACTCTATTTCAAATGTTTACTCTAATTATAAATCTAATTCTTTATTATGTTTATTACGCTCAATCTAATTCTAAAATTTGCAGGTTGGAGTGTTTTTCTTTTTGTTCTTTCTATTTATCATGTCTATCTTTCTTTCTTATTTTTCTACTTATTTGATTCATTCATTCTTTTGTCGCTTCTACTCACCGCTTAATCTCCCATTTGCTTTGCCTATCTATCATTCTCTCTCGTTTCGCTCTTATCAACTCAACATAAACCCCAACTCCTCAGGACCTGATGACCTAGGTAGAAAAAAAATCATGAATAAGACGAAATAATTCCCCAGTGCATGAGATTTAGTGCCTTGCAGTCCAGACGAAAGATTTAGTGGCAAAACATAAATTTCAAATGTTGCATTTCAAAATCATACATTCCCGACCATTTTTTTCATTTTTATCAAAATTAAGTTTGACCCGACCTGACCTGACTTGAATCCTAGAAATATATCCAGAGGCAGGTGCGTTAGGTCATCACCAGCTTATTCAAGGTCAAGCATTTCCTTCTAGGCCTATAACCCACTCAAAAAAAAGAGTCTCACATTTCAATAACTCGCTTTGATGAGTTTGAGCAGGACACATTTTCCTGCACGTATCCCCTCGACCTCTGACCCGACCCGACCTGATCCACAGGCATCCATCGCGAGGCAGGTGTGCTGGGTCATCACCAACCTTTTCCGGGTCAAACACCCCGTCATCTCGCCGGAAGAGAGGAAGATGTGCGCCGAAGCCATCAGGAGACTCGTCGCCCACTTCGATGCGAAGGTGCAAGGTGAGGGAGGGGGTGGGGGAGGATGGTAGTGAGGGTGTAAGGGAGGGAGGGGGGGGGTGGGGAGGTGGTAGTGAGGGTGTAAGGTGAGGGAGGGGTGGGGGAGGATGATAGTGAGGGTGTAAGGGTGAGGAAATAGTGAGAGGGTTGGGGGTGAAGGTGAGGGAGAGGATGATAGTGAGGGTGTAAGGGTGAGATGAGGGTGAGGATAATAATGAGGGGGGTTGGGGTGAGGTTGAGGGAGAGGATAATATTGAGGGTGTAAGGGTGAGGGTAAGGGTGAAGGTAAGGCCAAGGATAATGGTGATGATAATGATGATATTAATGAAAATGGCAATGATAATACTAATTGTAATATTACTAATGATGGCACTGATAATTATCATTGCCATAATAACGCCAGCAACTAGAACAACAAGACCCACAAATAAACAAATAAACAGGTAAACAAACACGAACACAACAAACCTCAACCACAACACCCCCAGCGAGAGCGGCTGACAGCTGACCCTCCCTCGCCAGCTGACTCCCTGTGGGCGGCGGCGTACTTCGCTGACATGGGGCCCGGCAGCGTGGACGAGCTGATCGAGTGCGGCGCCGTGAAGGACATGGTGCAGCGCCTCTACTCGCAGGACGACAAGGTGGTCACGGCGGCGCTGAGGGCCACGGGGAGCATCGCGGCGGGGGCCAACCACCAGGTGCGCCGCCGGGATGGGTCCGGCCGCGCTCGGGCTCGGCTGGGGCTCGGCTTTGGGGATCGTCTGCGTTTGGGGCTCGTCTGGGGCTCGGGCTGGGCTTGGCCTTGTCTTTGGTGGGGGGGGGAGGGGGGTAGCTTATTTGTTATGGGTTTGGTTCAGACATCATAAATACACGGACACGTACAAGCACACGCACACGCACGCGTACACACACACACGCACACACACACACACACACAAACACAAAAACACAACACACACACACCACACACACACACACACACACACACACACACACACACACACACACACACACCACACACACACACACACACACACACACACACACACACACACACGTCACACACTCCTTGCCCTCCTCCCTCCATTGAAAAAAACTGAATGAGATCGAAATAGATAAAAAACAAAAACAGAAGCGCCATTCAAAACCGAGCTTCAGTGAGCTTTCTCCTCCATTCACGACTAGTCATTCACAATCAACGGACCGAGGAAGAAAGAAAAAGAATGAATTAAAAAAAAAAACAGTATTCAGTGCCGAGCCATAGTAACACTCACGCGAACATGATAATGATGATAATGATAATGATGATGGTGATGGTAATAATGATATTGGTGATGATGGTGATGAAAATAAGAATAGGGACAGTAATGATGCTAATTCTAATGGTAATAACAACGATGGAAGCGATAATGATGCTAATAGTGATAAAGATATTAGGGTTAGTGGCAGTCGTATTAATGAGGGTAATGAAGTTGATGATCATAGTAATGATTAGAACAAATGATAAGGATAACGATGACAATAATAGTAATAATGATAATATTGATGGTATTATGCTAATGATATTGATGATAGAATGATGACAATATTGATGATGAAATAATGAAAAGGATAATAATTATAATAATGATGATAGTAACGATAATAATAGTAGTGATATTAATAATGGTAATAACGATGATAATGATGATAATAACAACAGTAATAATAATGATAACAACAGTAATAATAATTATAATAATAATAATAATAATAACAACAACAATAATAATAACGATGATACTAATAATCACAATAAAAACACAATGATAATAATAACACCCATAACAATAATAACAAATAAATGCCCCCGCCTCCCCCCCCCCCCCCCCCCCTCCAGACCGAGGCGGTGGTGTCCTCCGGCGCGCTGCCCATCTTCAGGGACCTCCTCGGCCACCCAACGCAGGCATCGCCAGCGAGGCGGCGTGATCCTCTCGAACGTGACAGCTGGCACGCCGACCCAGATCCAGATGGTGATCGACGTGCAGGTGGTGCCCGCGCTCATGAAGGCCGTGGAGAGAAGGTGAAGGAAGGAGGAGGAGGAGAGTGATGATGGTGATTGTGGTAATGACAGTAATAAGGATGATGATGATGATGATAATAACGATAATAATAGTGTTGATAAAGACAGTAACAATAATGGTAATGGTAATAACTAGAGTGATAACAATAATGATTATGATTATAATGATTATGGTATTGACAATAACATTAATGATAATACAAAACACTCAAACCCTAAAACCTCCCCCCCCCCCGCCCGCTCCTCCTCCTGCAGCAGCGCAACGAGGAGCTGCAGAAGGAGGCGTCGTGGGCGCTGTGCAACATGGTCTCGGGCGGCACGGAGGAGCAGATCGCGATGCTGGTGTCCGTGGGCGCCGTCTCGTCCCTCTGCCACCTGCTGAAGGCGGAGGACGGCGCTCGTCCTGGTCTGGAGGCCCTGAGCCGTGTGGGTCTGCTGGGAGGGAGGCGGAAGGGGCATGCTGGGTCTGGAGCCCTGAGCGGCGTCTTTGCGGTGGGTCCGGGGGGGGGGGGGGGGGGCGTGGGAGAGGAGGAGGGAGGGGGGCATGGGAGGAGGGAGGAGGGAGGGGAGGGAGGGATGGAGGGAGAGGAGGGAGGGGGACATGGTAGGGAGGGAGGAGAGGGAGGGGGGCATGGGAGGGGGAGGGAGGAGAGGGGGGGGAGAGGGGGGGTAGGAGGGAGGAGGGAGGGAGGGGGGGTGGGGAGGGAGGGAGAAGGGGGGGAGAGGGAGCATGGGAGGGAGGGGAGGAGAGGAGAGGGAGGGAGGGGGAGGGATCATGGGAGGGAGGAGGGAGAGGGAGAGGGGGATGGCAGGGAGGGAAAAGAGAAGGAGAGAAGGAGGGGCATTGAAATGATAGATATATAGACAATTTGCTTTGATTCCATTTGGTCCAAGGGTATTCTCTGGGGTGGCATGCCGTCTCGTTGCTTCCAAATGCCCCCCTGTGTGCAAGGAACGGCCGGGGTTGCCATACACTGCCAGAGAGATTGCTAGACGGGAACGCTACCGCTGGTTGTTGTAGTAGATAGAAGTTGTAGTAGTTGCGGTAGTTGTTGTAGCAGTAGACAGTAGTTGCAACAGTACTGGTAGTTGCGGTAATAGTATTAGTTGTAGTAGTAGACAGTAGTTGTATTAATAGTTGTAATAGTAGTTGCAATGTGTATGCGTGTGTAGTTTTTAGTTGTAGTAGTAGAATGTTGTTGCAATAGTAGTTGTGGAGTTATCGTCGTAGTAGTTATGGCAATAGCATTGACTGTAGTAGCGGACAGTAATAGTAATACTGATTGTAAAAGTAATTAATTTTTGGTCCTCAAATTTTGTTTCTTATATTTACCTTTCTTTGAATAATTCCCTGTAATCTTAATGGTGTTTTATCTTAGTGTTTCTCTAAAGGGCTTGCGAGGTTCAATCTGTCCCCTTCCTCACCCCACCAGTATGTACATTAGTTCATGTGTTACATTCTGGGTTAGATTAAAAATGTCAGTTCCACTACCAATTGTTCATTTCATCTCTGTACCAAATTTTGGGATAAATGAACAGTATAAGTTTAAGTACCAATTGCTCATTTAAATTATGTACCAAATTTTGGCCTAAATGAACAGCACCACTACCATTAAAAACCGTACATTGTACTTCTGCATTACATACAAGCACCAGTACCATTACAGATCCTTCCCGCCCACAGAAATCCCAGAACGAGGAGGCGACCGCCCGCCTGGTGGAGGGCGTGGGCGGCCTCGAGACCCTCCGGGGCCTGCAGTCGAACCAGGACCCGAAGGTGGCGCAGGCGGCCTCCACGCTGCTCTCGCTCTACTTCGGCGGCAGCAGGAGGAGCAGCTACGGATACTGAGGCGGGAGCGGAAGAGGGTCATTTGTCTTGTTTCTTTATGTAATATATAAATATATATATATATATATATATATATATATATATATATATATATATATATATATATATATATATATTATATATACATATACATACATACATATGTATATATATATATATACATATATATATATATATATATATATATATATATATATATATATATATATATATATACATATATATACATACATATATACACACATGCATATATATCTACCTATGTATATAATATATAATATATATATATATATTATATATATATATATATTATATATATATATATATATATATAGATAGATATATATATATATATGTATATATAAATATATATATATATATATATATATATATATACATATATATATATTATATATTATATATATATATATATTCATATATATATATATATATATATATATATATATATATATATTATATATATATTTATATCTATATCTATCTATGTATATGTATCTATCTATCTATCTATCTATCTATCAATCTATATATGTATATATATATATATATATATATATATATATATATATATATATATATATATATATATATATATATAATATATATATATAATATACAAATATATATTATCTATAAATATATATTATATATATATATATATATATATATATGTATATATCGGTATGTATATTAATCTTTCAAGAGGAGTTAATTTTGCTATTACATGATAATTTGAGTTATACAACATGTGATATTACCCATAAGTAAAGTAGAAATCGATTATCTATCGTAGAATGTAACACTCCAGGAATTAAAATTGTATGATAACTATACCTTTGAGTAACTCCCATTTTTTATAATGCCATATATGGTGTATAGTGAATGGTATACAAAAGTATAAATTTTCAAATGTGCTTCAATTTTGGTGTTGCCTTCTTGCCATTAGCATTGGCAACATTTTATCTTTTTTCTGTTATATAAACATAATCATCACTGTTATTATCATTATTGTTATAATTGTTACCACCATTATCATTATCATTATTATCATCGTCTATTATTGTCATTACTATTATTATGATTATCTTTATTGTTATTCTTATTATCAGAGCTGACGTAATATTTACATACATGCGTGTATGTGTGAATGTGTGTTGTGTTGTGTGTTGTGTGTGTGTGTATATGCATATATATACAAAAACATTAAATAGACGATGAAAATGTAGAACGAAAGAAAATGGCAATTTTCACAAGAAGAGGTCTTGTTGTGAAACTTCCAGATCAAAGTCCAAGAATTTTATGAATGAGTATCGAAGCGCCGTGGAAACCCAACGCTTGAAGGACAGTGGCCGGCGTGAGGAAGGGACCTAGACACTCGGAAGACAGACAGATGTCAAGGCTGTACATGCAGGGTCAGACATACAGCAATATTATACAAGTAGAGAGAAGGTCCATTGTTTCTGTGGCCGTAAGTCTGTACAAACGATTATTATTTTAGTCTTCTTATCTTATCTCTACATCTCTCTCCCTCTCTTTTCCCCAAACGATAGTGCATTGCAGCATCCGGTATCATTTCTTTTTTGTACGATTCATTTTTGGTATGATGTATTTTTCATTCCTAGCATTGGCCAATATGAACCACTGCTGAGGGTTCCTCCAGACTTCAATTCACGTCGCGCGATGTACTGCGCATTTCCTTGCGTGTCGCCCGAGAAATTTCAACGAGCGTCATTTTCTCAACACTCTGCGGGCGACAGTATGCGCAGAGCTGTCATCGAGGAAGGATCTTAGACCATCTATCCACCCAATGTCTGTTTGGTAGAGTATGTCATGTTTTCTTCTAAACGGCATCTTTGTGGTTCAGGCAACGAATGATGCGCGACAGGTTGCTCACTTCTGTTGCGCAACTGGTACTGCAGTGTAGACGGGGGTTTGCTCAGGTGGTGCTCATGTGGCTGCGTCTAGTGATGATGCCGAGCGCTGAAAAAATAATCTCTGTTGTGTCTATTATTTTTTCGTACATTTTTTCTTTCTTTGTCGGAGGATTTGTTGGTCAGGCCGTGCATCGAGGTCTGTCTGACCTTCATGCATCTCCCTCCCTCTCTCTCTCTTTGCCCTACCCTCTCCCTTCTTTATCTCTTTCCTACTTCCTCCCTTTCGTCTGTTGTGAACGTTAGATGAATCCTACATATAATCCGCCATGCAAGTTCCCGCCACATGAATTGAGTCAAAATTCTAAATGTTTCGCAGTTAGTCAGCGAGAAACTTCATAGCTCTATATGTCTGCGAATTTTCCTGTGAATAAACCTTTTGAATTACGGTCGATTTTCCCTTGTCTTTTTTTCTACTACGGTCATGGTGGAGGAAAGTGAAAACAAGATTTATCTATCCGGAGATTCCTTTTTAAAAGTTTAATTAAAGTCAATGATAGCTAAAAGACTTCTTATCCTCTCTCTATATATATCTACCTATCTATTTATTTACCTCTCTCTGTCTGTTTCCATCTGTGTGTGTGTGTGTGTGCGTGCGTGTGTGGTGTGTGTACGTGGTGTGTGTGTGTGTACGTGTGTGTGTGTGTGCTTGACAATTATCTCAGTTGATAATCGTTTGCTTTATTCATCAATTCCAAAATAGGATGAACATTTCACAATCATTGCAATTAAAGGCATGTGTATATACTGCACATATACATAAACTAGAAAAGAGATGTATGCTATATGTACAAACAAACAGGCACACATACACAAACATACCAATATACAACACACACACACGCATGTACACAAACCTACATATATGTACACACACCACATCACACACGCGCACACACATACACAAACCTACATATATACACACCACACCACAGACACACACACACACACACACACACACACACCACCCCGCAACACATACATACACACAAGCACACACACACACATAAACGCATACAAACACACAGCCACACCCATATACAACTGTATACACACATAAAACCCCTGTCCCTCCCGCACAATCATAATCAAGAAAAAACACACTTATACAAACAAACATTCACAACCAAACTGAAGAATTTCTCCCCAAAAATACTTTCTTTGGCTCGCAACCATTTCCATGCAACCACACAGGGAGAATCAGAAACCAGAATAATCCATTAGATTGATTATACGGTTGTTTGCCTGTTTCGCGCCATTAGCAAGCATGTACAGAAACCGTATTTTTTTTTTTTTTTTTTTTTTTTTTTTTTTTTTTGTTATAATGCACTTCCCTCCCGACGCCAAAGGTTCCAAAAAACAATAATAATAATAATAATAAAACAAAACGATCTTCAAAGTTAACATTTTATTCTGGGAAATAATTTACAGATCTCGCACACGTTATGGAAAATTGTCTTCTTCGTCATGGACGTTACCGCTGAAGTTCCTGAAGGGAAACGTATTCTGGTGCTGAGAAGGGCGCTCTCGGAAGGCATGGGCGGCAGGGCGCGGGCAGCCACGTGCAGGGCGTGGCTGTCGTCCCTGCCTCGTTTGGGAACATCCCTGATAAAGTGTTTATGAATGTGGAGGAATGCTGGAAGGCAGACTGAGGAAGAGGAGGTGAGGAGAGAGAGAGAGAGAGAGAGAGAGAGAGAGAGAGAGAGAGAGAGAGAGAGAGAGAGAGAGAGAGAGAGAGAGAGAGAGAGAGAGAGAGAGAGAGAGAGAATAGAAAAGAAAAGAAGAGAGGAAAAGAGCAGAGACATAAAACGAGATTAACAAATGAGTAAAACACAAACAGCGTCACTAACTCTAACAAAAAAGAAAAAAACCCTGTTTAGTACACAGTAGACCCCACAGCCCCCCTTTGCGGTCCGGACACCTGCCGGAGCACACAGACAAACAAGGAAGGTGATGACACAAACCACCTGTTACTGCGACCATTCAGACACCTTAAGTTCTAGGCATGGCACGTTACGAGTGACTGAAGCAAGGTTAGCACCTTCCCCGTGCGACGTTACATTGGTTTTAAAAAGCCTACGACAATCTTTGGACGAGAAAAATTACCGAAGTATTAAGAAAGAAAGTGTCTCTCTTTTTACATTTTTTTCCTTCACTAATCCTCTCGGAAACGACAGAAAAGAAAAAAAAAATCTTTCAAATCCTTACATATTTATATATTAACACAACAAATATATACAAACATATGCCCATGATAAAACAAAATGAAGAAGACTGGTAAGATGACCTTTCAACTGAATGACATGAAGAAGCGAATAGAAATGAAGCATTTAATAAAACAACAAAAAATAATAATAGCGTTACTAATCAACAAAACTACGCAGTCAATGGCATGAACATGCAGTAATGAGTCGACTGGAAAACCAGTCAACAGTTCATGAGTCACAGGTGATTCTCGTGGAGGTAGAGACTTCTAAAATCAACAAATTCCATTGCCGATTCACGCAGATGGCAATTCCAGCTCGCCATCTGCGAGGACGAGACGGAAACAGATGGAATAAAAGGCGGATTTCTGTACTACAATGACTGCTCGTTTTATGAATGGCCTCTCCCTTACGCGACCCTTCGCCCATTCATAACTCCGGGTGACGTTCGAGCAAGGTGGAGAGGGAGGGAAGGGCTGACATTCGCGGGGTTTTGAACCTCTTGTGTCTTGGATTAGATCTTGATGGATCTCTGGATATCATTCTCATCTGAAATTTGTTCTTTATCATTTTTTATATCATTTCATGATCATCACTTTGGCCCCTTTGCAAGTCATGTCTGCCTCCGGGACGCCGCTGCGCATCGCACCTTTGACTTGCGACGTCACTCTGCGCTCGAGAACTTCCCACATTCCAAGGGTTAGTCTAATTCCCGAAGCCGCGAACTCCACCCATTCCAAGGGTCATCTAATTCCCGAAGTCTCGCCTGGCGCTGAGCTTCACTGCACTTCCAGAAGGCGCGCATGATCCCGCAGCTAGTCTGTCATGACCAGATTCACTTTCCTCCCGCCGGGAGTCTTTCCCTCGCCACTTACAGTGGCTCCTCTTCACCCTTCTCTCCTTCGATCTGGCCCTGAGGCCCAGGCTCCTCGAACGGCCTCGCGGGGAGCACAGAATGCCCCGAGGCCCCGACACTCCCACTGGGCCCGGGGTCTTGCGAGAGGCTTTAGGCATTGAGCAAAAAGTACACTTTTGGCAATCACGTCTTCTTTGTACAGAGTATGTTCGCTTTGTTCTCCTTCGTTTTCAGGACAAAGTCGCCCGGGTCTCGCAGTTTCTCGCGAGAGGGCTTGGGCATCATCGCACTACAGACAACACACAGCGCGTCCTTTGTGGTACCAAAACCAAGAACTTAAAAAAATCGAAACATCAAAAACAAAAAATCACGAACATAAGCAAAATTTTTCAAAATTTGAACATTTCTACGGATCGAACTGGATCCAAAAAACATGGCGGCGCTACGAAGGCTGGCGGGCGATGTTATCTCTTCTTGCCGGCCCAGTATTTCTTGATCATGTCCGATACCATCTCGCCGATCATGATGACGGGGGCGTTGGTATTTCCGGATACCAGCGTCGGCATGATGGACGCGTCAGCCACTCGCAGTCCCGAGATTCCGTACACTCTGAAAGTGGCGGGTAAGTTAGAAAAAAGTGCTGATACATGTTGGCATACTGAGGTCACCGAGTTAGTATTTAGTTTTCATGAGAATTCTTATAATAATGGGAAAAATCTCTGCCTGAATACATGGTTGCCCAAAAGTATCATTAATAAATTTTATCATTAGGCAAGCGCGAAACATTACTTGAATACTAAATTAAACAAAATTCTTTTATTAATTACGAATCACAAAAGCTCAATCTAAGAAGAAAAAAAAAAAAACGCATCTACAGTAATAGATAACTAAATAACCCTATAACAATGGAAAAAAAAAATACAAAACGTGAAAGGTGCACCACCCACACCAACACCCAAAACTCCGAAAGATGCAACCCCTAAACACAACAATAACAGCGACGACCAAATCGCGACTCACTTGAGCTCCGGATCGACGACGGCCTCGGGGTCCCAGTACGGCCCCATCTTGCAAGTTCCCACCGGGTGATAGATGGTCGAGGTGTAGGACCGGGCTAGGCACTCCCAGTACTCGTCGGTCCAGGGCGTCGCGTACTCGCAGCCGGGCATCGGGCGAGTGTAGAAGCGGGAGCCGAACTTCTTGAAGGCTTTGGTTTCGGCGAGGGCGAGGGCGATCTTGATGCCTGAGTGAGGGCGGAGGATGGCGTTAGGGCGTGGGCCGAGTGACGGGGGAAGGGGGGGGGAGATGAGAGGCAGAAATTGATATAAAGGGTAACTGACAGGTATATATGTATAAATTTGTGTGTGTGTGTGTGTGTGTGTGTGTGTGTGTGTGTGTGTGTGTGTGTTGTGTGGTGTGTGGTGTGGTGTGTGTGTGTGTGTTGTGTGTGTGTGTGTGTGAGCGCGCACGTGTGCACATACACAAATATATATACTTATACTGAGAGAGAGAGAGAGAAAGTGATGTCCAGGCGCAGCCACGTACCGCGATGCTAAAAGTGGGAAAAAAAGTCTCATTTGTATTATCAGGAGAGAGAGAGAGAGTGGCCCAGTCCCCCAGGGTATGTTCTGCAAATGAGAAAGCTCGGCATGTCGGCTGGGCGAGGTCCTGCATAACAAAAAAATATGCAATATGTAATACGCCGAAAAAAGGAGAAAATTAGAAATAATTGTGGTATTTTCAAAATCAGTTTGTGTGCTTTATGTACCATGAGATTAAGATACTTAACCGGATGAGGCAATATACACTTCATTCGACACAAAACACCAAATTTACTGATTCTAATATATGTAATAAACGTAAATAAATAGAAAAAGTTCTATTACAATACAGGAATTCGGTGTTTATTGTTGCAGTAAATGTGTTTCTTTTCTGTTAACATTGTTTTTTATGGTATTGGATAAAACGCAGAATGAAGTAAATAGATATAAAAGTAACTCATCCACTCAAATCACATATAAACACAAACACATAGGCCTGCATGTATACATACGAACTCGTCTGAAACACACACATGTACACATTTCCATTCTTTCCATTCCTACACAATCTTCCCTTACATAAGGAGCCCAATTTTTATATAATAAAACAATGAGAGCATCGTCATTCTTGCCACAGATGCCGGATGTCACCAACGCGAGGAAATTCCTCCGCGCTCCCTAAACCTGCAGATTTCTTCCATATCCTTCAAGTTTTTGTGGAGCTCGAGGGGCAGGCCATCTGCAGCGAGCTTTCTCCGCTGCAGTGAGCTGACCTGTTGCCACGTCTAAGACAAGGCGGCCTGATTAACGAGGGCTATTAGGTGGAAGAGAGCGCTGGACTAAGGCGGAGTTCACCTCTGTTTACATGTGTGGGTTGTTCTCGTTCAGATACGTTTGGGGCGGATCGCGAGGAAAGCTGTTTGCGAAATGCTTGGCTTGCTATAGATTTGGTTTACTGTAGACTTACGTAACTCTCCTTATTCAACTCTCTCTCACCTTACTTTCCTCTCTCCTCTCTTCCCTCCTTCTCTCTCTCTCTCTCTCCTCCTCTCTCCCTCTCTCTCTCTCTCTCTCTCTCTCTCTCTCTCTCTCTCTCTCTCTCTCTCTCTCTCTCTCTCTCTCTCTCTCACTCTCACTCTCACTCTCACTCTCACTTCCCCCCTCCCCCCCCCCCTCTCTCTCTCTCTCTCTTTCACTTTAACTCTCACTCCCTCTCCCTCTCACTAGGACACTCCACCCGCACCAGCAATACAATCGACCAAAGCTCTCCTTCACCCACATCCACGGTCGAGGTCTGCAGACGACAAACATCTCTCTGGAGGAAAAGTTTTGAAACATGAACTCGATTTGAGGATGATACGGCGAATATTGCATTTTGTTGCCATGATGCTGGTGGTTGGCAGGGCAGCGAGGCGCGAGAAGAGGCAAGAAAAGAATGCAGAGGAAAGAATGTGGGAGGATGAGAAATGATGAAGAAGATGTGGAGAGAGAGAGAGAAAGAGGGGGAAAGGAGGACGAGAGAGAGAGAGAAACAGACAAACAGACAGACAGAGAGAAAGAGAAAAGTGAAAGAAAAAGAGAGTTGAGACTTTAAAAAAAGTAGAATGAAGGAGAAGAAAGAAAAATACGGAAAAAGAGAGAGACAATCTAAGAAAACAGGAAATGACTAAAGAGAGGAAGAAGAAAGAGAGGAGAACGACCATCTACGCAAAAAGTCCGAGCTAAGCACGATGTAGAAAGTGGCGACGTAATGAACACGGATAATATTTCAGGCAGCCG